ACGGAAATGTCGTTTGAATCTGGATTGTTTTGGAGTTTTGGAATTTCGGGCTTTGAAAGAAACTGACTCGGTAACTCAAGTTCTGCTTCATGAAAACATGAACTGACCGTGTGCCAGTTCGCACTGTCTTTTCCCTGTAGTACGTCCTGGAATCCCCTACTGCTGATAGGGAGGTGTCTGTTTGAGTTTACCGTCCTATAAGACACAACTATGTCACATGGAAAACTGAGCTGTCTTAACCTTAATGTAATGAATAATGGAGGATAGAAAGAACAGTAAAAAGAACAAAAAGTATACAGGCTGGTGAGCTGTACAATGAGTTTATAGTTTATGGGCACAATGAGGTACGTTTGCAGCTCTGTGCTGGGATATTCTTGCCTTTAACATTTCGGGGCGTTCTCCTCGAGACAAGATCAGTCGTGGCATGGTGTCGGGTTGATCTAAATACAAAAAAAAGAAAAAAGAAAATGAGAATATTGATAAAGCTGTGAATGCTTCTTGTCTGCCAGTTGAGGGTGATCAAATGAGCAGTGCAGAAACAGATCTGGTCAATATGTACCCGATAAAAATCAAGTGCTGTGCATAAAAAATGAGATCTCTAAGGGGAGTTTTGCACTCGCTCGTCCACTGCCTAAGGTGCATCTCCGGATAAGCCCCTTTCATGCCCTTAGCGTATGCTGCACGAATGTGCTTTGGGGAGTTGAAAAATGCGGGCTTTACTTTTTTTTAAAGATAACATTTTGTGGCCAGGTAGACAGGGCTCCACTATCCTGTCCTTTTCCCCCCTCAGTAAGTAGAAACAAGACGTTTGTATTATATATATTTATTTGCTGGGGGGGGTAAAATATACGCTTTGCTCAGCAACAGAAGGTAATCTCTTTCTGATAGATTGTCACACTTGAACGTGTATGTTTAACTTGCGTAAATTATGTCGTGTTTATTGTCCTGTATCCTCGTGTTTCGTTTTTTCTTTCTTCTTTCAGTTGTCACACCTAGGGCCCGACCAACATCTGTGCTGTAATGGTTAGGCTTTTTGCCATTGCGCGCGGAAGACATGAGTTCAATTCCCAAGTGGGGAAGTTTAAGCTAGGTCTCTCTGCTGACGGGCGGGCTTTAAGCATCCCGCCTGTTGTGATATGATCTGAAGCGGGTCACGTAAAGGGGGTGTAAAACGTACAATTAACTGACAATTTTTACAAATGCCCCGATCTCGAGAATGCCAACCTACTTCAAGTAAAGCACAAATAATTACGTGGGTGGTTGGCGGGTGCTGAGGTGTGGTTAGCTCCTTCCTATCAAACATCTGTAGTCTTTATCTCCCCCCC